GAGTAGCCATTGCTCACCCTACTCTTGGTAGTGCTCCTGCTTTGTTTAGCTAAAATAAATTTCAAAAGGGTTGAATCGTCCATGACAAATTAACAAAACAAATCAAAGCTCTGTAAATTTATTTTTAGCTGGGTTTGCAAAATGAATCAACATTCTCCTGAAGCAGCGAACAGTTCCACAAACTAAAAAAAAAAATCCCAAAAAAAGTCTCAAGTCTTCTAGTATTACAAGTGAAACCCTTAAGTCTAACAAATGAGTGTAGACGGAGGACCAGACTCCTTCATGGCATCACTTTGCACACATTCGGTGCTGCTGCAGCAAATTTGTCTTAACTAGCAGTGGAAGATAATAGCAATGGAAACAAGGATGTTTGCTGCCTCAGCAAGTGTACCGTGGGATGGAAGCATTAAAAAGATGGAAAACTATGTGTTTGGCTTTGTAGGACAAAACAAGGAGACGAGGACAAAGACGACTCCAAGTGCGTTCTCTTTAGTTTATTTCCTCCTCGCTGCTTTAACTAATTATCATCTGCCCCCAGATGCTGAAAGATAAGAGATTATATTTCTGTGTCTGTTAACAAAATATCACCTGAACCAGTGGATGGATTTGAATGGGAAAGCTACTCAAAAAGCAGATGTAATAATCCTCCTGTACTAAAAAATATTAGTTTTCACTTCATTAATAACAGATATTTTTAACAAAATGTTATGGTGTATTCATTAATTCCAGATAAAAAGATGAACTTTGCTGTCAGAAATGTGTCATATAAAAAACATAATTAACTTATTTTGCAGCAAAGTTTTTAGTCAAACAAGCAGAATAAAGCAACACTATTTGTGCTGGGTAAGTCCCTTTGTTGTTGTATTTTTATTTTTTATTTTTTTTACAAAGAAACTATTTATTATCAGCCACAGAGGATTACACTGAGCTCAAACATCTTTGTAGAGTTTCTTCAAAGCGTTGGAAAGTGCACAGAGCTGAAGCTTCTCTTCTTCTTCTTGGATTCTGGAGACGCATCTATGATTTGTCATGTTCAGAGAGCCGTGCTTAAAACTACAAAAGACGGTGTCTAACAAAGTTAAATCAGGTCATCTGGGTGGATTTTTTAAAAATTGTTGAATCGTTTTGTCTTTTATTCAGTCTGAGGAGCTCAGTTTTATAATCAGCACCTTCTCATAGTGGATCAACTAGTTTGATGGTGACAGCCAGAACTAGTTGTTCACATGATCAGGGAGGACCATCAGCCTATCGACCGATCGTTAGTGCCTTGATGGCCGCTTGCTATTCACAGGGGGATGAGTGATACTAGCAATAACAGCATTTTAAGAAGGTGACGGTTGAACACGGAGGCCTCCACCCCTGTTTAATGATGGACAATTTCTCTTCACAAAGATGGCCTCCTTTACTCCTCTCTCAAACCATCGTTCCTCTCTATCCAGGATGTGAACATCTTCATCCTTGAACGAGTGACCGCTGGCCTGGAGATGAGTGTAGAGCAGCGACCTGCAGTCAGGGGAGGCAGGTGAGGCAGTGCCTCTCCAGCCATCATGACAAGTAAAATACAAACAATGAGAACATACATTTGACCACGTGACTGTTCTATAAAACTGTTTTATGAATTATTTCAACACTTCACTGACTCAAAATCGTGGAATTTATGCATTGCCTGTTCAAACAATGCAGGACGAGGCAGTGTAGTGCTCTGGTTCACCTCTGGTGGTGCTGTGTCATATACAACATGTGATGTAGGTGGTTGGAGCATGCTGTCTCTCTTTATATCACAATATACATGTTTGATTACACATGTGATACACATGTTGATGTTCTACAGTCTGTCTAATATATTTAATGAATGTGTGACATATTTCTTCTTTCTAAATGGTCATACATGCACAGTGAAAATACACAGGGTGAGGCAGAAAGTACCGGGCCTCACTGATAGGGGGCAGTGCTGCATTGAAACGTCGCTGTGCATTCTTCTGTTACGCAGAAGGACAGGGGTGGAAGATCATATCTCAAAACTAAAGGATTTTTCTAAACTCATCATTTTTCCACAATCGTTCATCTTAAAATAAAGGTAGGATAATACACGTTGTTTTTTTTTCTTTAAAAAGAAAGGAGTGTGGAGTTGATTAAAGCATAATTAGATGCCTTTTTAAAAGAAAAAAAAAAGCTAAATTGAAATATCAACTTCTATTTTGGGTTCATATATGTGAGCATCCGATTCCAGACGAGTCAGTGCCTCACCTGTAACAAATCTCAACTCACGTCACTGGTGTAGACCACAGAGTCCTGGCCTGATGATGTTGATCTTCTGTGCTGGGCCATCCTTTTGGCCAGTGGCTGTTTAGTTTCCCCGATGTAAGACTGATCACAGCCCTCCTGACACTGAACAACATACACAACATTACTCTGTTTGTGCCGGGGGACTGGATCTTTGGGATGAACCAGTCTTTAATGTATTTTGGGGTTTAAAAGCCACTGGGACGTTATGTTTAGAAAATAAACGTCTCCGTTTCTCTGATACTCAATACGGAATGACCACTGGTCTGGGTCTGGGTTCCTCCTTTTCACCTG